ACAAAAATCACGTGAATTTTCCATTGTACGCACTCCCCTAATTTTCAGTCACTACTAGTTTATCTCTTGACTGAACACTTCTTCGTCGGAGTGCATGAGGGATTATAAGAGTGCAACCTGTAATCGGGAATCGTAATAATATGGTCCTCCTTTGCACCGGAATCCATTTCTAAAGCGGTTCAGTATATTGGGAATATTTGGAATCAAGCTTCTAGACTACCAACTTGATGAAACGCTATGAGCATAAACGATGATCGATGAAATTGCTCCGCATTAATTCTTGTAGCATTGTGAAGATGTACAGACTGACAGCAATTATTTTTGCTACGATTTTAGGCCAAATTCACTGGAAGTTGGAATATAGGCTATTCCCAATCCCATAAGATAATCATAATCAGAAATTTTAGGCGCACGTTCGGGCTCCTTGTTTAAAATGTTGGTCGCCCGAGTGCAAGTCTTAGGAGCCTCTGGCTCCCGGTCTCCTGTTAGGCAGCAGCCTTGCACTCTCCGGAATAACAGTAATAATAAAAGTTAAATCGTCCTCATTAATACAGCGGTTTTTCCACAAATATCCTAAAGCACTTTTCAGCATACACAGTACCAATTAACTGTGAAACTTAAAACAATTTTCTTGTAAGTTAATCTTTATTTCGAAAAGAAATGTCAACTAAAAGTTAAAAAAAAATGTACGTTGTTACAATTAATAATAATATGTCCTAAACTGGTATCAGAGTGTCAACCGCATACGTACGAGGCTGACAATGGGAAAGACAATTTGAGAGGTCGTCAATGTAAAGAAGAAACAAAAAAGGCCCCGGGATTGTTCCCTGAGGAATGCCACAGGACAGCGCGTAGTTGTCAGACAAATGACCCTTCACGAAGCATTTTTGATTATGATTACTCTGATAGGACTTGAACCAATCATTGGGGAGACAACTCGGATGCCATATTCATATATTTGTAATAAAAGAAAGTCGCATTAAACGCTTTTTTGAGATCTAGAAATAGGCGTGTATATTTTGCGAGTTGCGTATAGTACGAGCAATAAGGAAAATGTAAAACCATCGAATAGAAGATTCATTATTCCACTGCAAAAAAGATTTATTTGTTATTTTCGTATTATCAGTACATGGCGGGTGCGAATTTGTCTGTATTTGCTCTGTTATAAAGCGGTCGAACCAGACACTACAAGGTATTACAGCTGTATTAGGGGTCTCATATTTTGCGCATACACTTTATTCTGTGGGGAAATGACATAATAATGTAATAATGAAATCCCCTATATCACGTCCTTAAAGTGAGCTAGAGCCTCCGTTTTGGCAGGTTGAATTGCTTGAAACACGGACCGCGTATTCCTGGAATGACACAGGGTACTATGCGCTAGCTAGAAATCCCATCTACTATTTTAGAAAAACGTATAGCAAGTCAAGAAATGTCAAACAACCTGCAGCTGATGATACTTTTATTGCCTATTTGATGTGAATTTAGTTGTAAATTAAAGTATTTTTCGTTATATAGTTTTCTTAAAGAGGCACTGTCACGGCAATTCTCAAGTTTGGTCAAAACTCCTCAAAACTTTAACGAAAAAACCTTTTTTATACCATGAAATTGCTCTTATAGAAAACCGAGAAAAAAATATTAAGGGATTTCTCCAAGGAAGAACTTACTATGATCAGTCTTAAGCGACATTTCTCAAATTAAAAATACACAGGACAGTTACAATCCATTTCTATTCTCGCCATCCGCAAAGAGCGAACCATTATTTTGACGAATATATATCCATTCAATTATGTTTTCAGCCACCCACCCCTTCGCCCCCCACAAAACAAAACAAAACTGAAATAGGTGACACTGCTCCCTTAAGCTCGGCAGTTACTTCGTTAAATCACATTACGCAACGTTAATTTTACTTCACATCATTTCGCTAATATGTGCTCAACGATTTCCTGCTTCGTCATTTTACAGGACAAACTTGATAGAAGTAGCGAATGTTGGAAGAATGACTCAAATCTTGCCGGTTAAGTCGGAAACTGGCCAAGAAATGAGGAGAAGAACAGGCGACATTTTGCCTGTCCAAGAACACCAGAGGTTTATCGGCGCCTACATTGAAGTTAGTAGACTTCGCGAACCCCCTGGACATTAGCACCATTTACTCCCTTGGTCAGGTCCTGCAGAAAGAAGACAGTCAGAAAGGAGTAAATTATACATATTTTTAGCAGACAAGAATGTAGAAGATAAGGGTTGGCTTTTTGCATATTTCTCTCTGTTAACGCTGGATTAGATGCTATTTGCTCTTAAAGGCGTTCTTTTAGTAAGGCAACGCTGGGATGGTACGTTGCAACTGAGCAAAAGGCAGAATTTTGTTTTTCGCGGTTTATTGTCTTGTAGTAAAGCCGACTTTCGTTCAATGAGATTGTGAGGGTAGCTTCTAGTCCGAGGGCGTGTGAGTTAACTGAATAGTTCTAACAAGGATTTTTCTTGTTATCCATAAAGACTCCGTAACAAATATTGCTAGAATAGCAAGAATAATAAATTTAACAAAATTCTACACTTACAAAGCATTTGAATATATTTATATAGATATTAGCGCCTTATTAGTTGTTTTTTTTTTAAAAAAAGGCAAAGAAGGCCCTCTCCTTTATAAGTCTTTTATTCTAGATATACTTGAGATATTTGTTTCCGTTTTTTCCCTCTCCGTTTCCAGCTGTGCTCTTATGTACGTACTCTGTTTTTGACAAGTTCGAAATAACGGGGTTGATTTAAGGTGTAGGGAAAGAACGATGAGTTCGAAATAGCGGGGAATTCGAAATAACCGAGTTCGAAATAGCTGATAGTAAAAGACTGAAAACATAAAGGTAAATCCAAGGGAATTCGATCTTCCTTCGAAATAGCGGGGTTCAACTGTAGTTGAAAAATTTGCATTTTCCACAGGGGTCAGTTAACCCATGAGTTGGTCAAATATTGTTGTTTCTTTAATTTTGTTTTTTCCAAAAGGCTAAGATATATTGTTTGATTTATGTTCTAGAAAGAAAAGAACACTTTTGAGACTGAAAACTTGATTTTTACATAGTCGAAAAATTTTCATTTTCCAAGGGGGTTAACCATGATTTTGGTCAAAACTTGGCATTTTCTTTAAAAGTTGTTTTTCTTTCCAAATTAAAGGCCAAAATAGATTATTTGATAACGATGTAGATAAAAAAACAAGGCTCTCTAGACTAAAAATGTCATTTTCACATAGTTGAAAAGTTACCCCTTTTCCAAAGGGGTTAATGTTTTTGGTCAAAACTTGGCATTTTCTTTAACAGTTGTTTTTCTTTGCAAAACTCCAAGATAAATTGTTTGATTAAGTTCTAGATAGACTACAAGGCTTTTCAGACTATGAAAGTGTCATTTTCACAAAGTTTAAAAATTTGCACTTTTCTTAAGGGGTTAACCCATGATTTTGATCAAAAATAGCATTTTCTTCAAAGGTTGTTTTGCTTCTCAAAAGGCCAAGAAAATGGTATTTTCTACAAAGGTTGCTTTTCTTTTTCAAACGCCAAGATATGATATATTACTTGATTATGCTCTAGATAGAAAACAAGGCTTTCTAGACCACAAAATTGTCATTTTAACGTGGTCGAAAAATTTGTATTTTTCATAAACGGGTTAACTTATGTTCTTGGTCAAAAACTCCGGTGTTACATCATTGCCTTATCAGACTTTCAAAGATTCTACTACGCTTTTTTAAAAGCGTAACTTTAAAAAGTTCTAACATAACAAAAGAACATACAAGGATTGGAAACTGTTATATTGGTTATCAAATATTAACAATTTTAACTGTGTTCATACTCACGTTTCTGAACCTCTGGTTTCAACCTGATAACTCACGTTTCGAAGTCCGCGACTGCAGCCCAAGAACGTCTTGACATGGGCAGTGGCTGTCATGCTGCTAAAATACTTCCGGTTGACGTCCGTGGTACCAAGAACGTCTGGTACTTAAGTTTCCTAGTGTCAATGTATTTAACACGAGAGTTCTAATTGAGGGCACCGTTCTTATGTCTCCTTCAGAAGACGAGACTTCCATTTTGCGGAGTCATCCGAACCACGTGAAGGTCTCGCCATACGTAGGCAAAGGCAAAGGCATTCATTTCTGAGTTATTGTAAGACACTTTAATAACTTACTTCTTTTGCTTTATTCCCCTTAGCCTCTGCGCCAAGTGCGCAAATCTTGATAATTCGAGGTGTCTGTTCCAGCGGGTAAACAACGAAAATTGTTAATGAATACGAATTTCCTGCATTTATGTTTTTTTTATTTCCTGCACATCCTTACTTGTCAGCCTGCCATATGCATGAGGCTAACGGTTAACAGTCTCAACAGTTCACCACAAACTCTAGAAAATTGTCGTCGGATGTTAAGGTTAAATGGAACAATTGAAAAGAAAAGCAAACAACAGCTTATGTGAAATAGTAGAACATGGCTGCAACAACAATAGCTTATTTGAAATAGCAAAACCTGCATGGCTGCTACAAACTAGAACTTCCATATAGAACGAAACTTGCTGGCAACCAAGTTCTTTTACGACAAAACCTCGCTCCAGCTATTTTACAGTGTTTCTTATAATAACTGTTTTTGCACTAGACACACCAGTGTTTCAAAGGGTTGGTAAGTTTATTGAGGCTTTTGTATTTCAAGCGAACAAAACTCAAAAAATAAAATTTTAAAGAAAAAAATATTCACATAAACATTTGGCGAGGGGTGCTGTTTATTTTTAGACCAAATTGAGACCCCGAAGGGCAAAACAAAATATTTGAAACCGGGTTCCCCCTTATCTCAGGGTCTAGATCACCACCCCCCCCCCCCCCCACCAACCTTATGAATCTGCTACTGTAAAGTTCTTTTGTTTGCACTCACGAAAAGTCGGAAACATTTTGGTCTATAATTTCCAGATTTGGACTTCTTAGGAAATGACCACAAACGGATCCTTAATCATCAAAGTGTTGAGGGGTTACTGAAATGT